GCGGCCTCGGTCCTCAATGGCGCGCCACCAAAGCTATTCTCCGAGCCCACGGCAGAATCTCTGAAGCAGCACTCTGCGCCGAAATCCACGCCGAGCAGCAGGACATGGACCTGCAAGAAGAACGACACAGGAAGAAGACAACAGCATCAGAATTTGCCTTCCACACTCAGCGACGTTACAACAACTACAACAATCGACAACAACAACCGAAGCCAGTACCTCCCTTCTGTCACATCTGCAAGACGTCGGGACACCCACGCACGCACTGCCCGAATCGTCAACAGTGAACGACTCCGCAGCTGCATCTACGACCTTCAAGCAACCAAGTCACGTCAACACAGGCGAACCCAACGACTCAAATTCAAGCTTCAACGACCTCAACGGGACAACCTGCACAAGGAGCAAGAAACATCGTTAGCTGCATGGCAAGACTGAGTGACTCTTGCGTCACGGAATCACCACCGTACTACTCACCAAAAGAACAACTCGACGAAGCTACACCTCGCCGCGAAGCACTTCAACCGAACCCGACATACGCCGCCATCGCCCAAAGCGAGCCATCCGGGAAAGACACATGGTTCTTGGACAGTTGCTGCGGACAACACATGTGTTCTTCCGGGCGCTTTGTGCAACGAGAGTATCAACTCCAACGTGAAGTAGTCATCACCGTCGCCAACAACCAGAACCTGCGCACACGACGACAAGGCGTAGTACAACTTCAGTCACGAGAGACAAACGTTATCCTACAGATGTCCAAGGTCCTAATCGCAGAGGGCTTGGGCTACAACTTACTGAGCGTCAGTCAGTTGATGGCGAAGGGCATTCATCTTGAAGCAGACAGCACAACTCAGGAGTTCAAGCTGTACCACGGGAGAGGAGGTCTCTACATCGGGAAGGCGGTCCTCAAGAACAACGTCTTCGTTCTTGACTTCATTCCGGACCTTGGCACCGCCGACAGTGACGCCATCGTCAACTTCACGAATTGGACACACCCTCCAGATCTTGATCCAGACTTCAGTCCGGGCGGCTTCTGGTACTCACACACCATTCCTGAAACAGAGAGAACAAGAGCGTTAGCGACGATTCAACAGTCGGCAGCAGCAGAGACAACATCGGCAGCAGCAGAGACAACATCGGCAGCAGCAGCAGCGGCAGCAGCAGAAACAACATCAGCAGCAGCAGAGACAACGACAGCAGCAGCAGGAACATCAACACCAGTCGCCGGTCCTTCGACGGCACCATCCTTCATCGACGACACGCCACCAACACCCGCGCAGCAGCTTCAACCAACGCCGCGAGAAGTTCACCGCAGCGCCAACTTCACCGCCGGCTTCTACTCCAACTCCGACATGTACCGACGCTCTCAAGGGCACCGCGCCACCGAAGGAACCTGGCACGCAAGAATGGGACATCCGAGCCACACCGTGTTAAACAACACAATCAGAGCAGGAGTGCTTGACAAAGATTCACTCCTACTAACCGACGGCAGAGAACTTCAGCGAGCTCGAGGAACATGCTTCACCTGCCCCGAAGCAGACCTAACGCGACAACCATTTCCATCTCACCACAACCCAAGCGCACCTGCATATGCACCACTCGAGAAAGTATACAGCGACATCTTGTACAATCGCGAGCCTGGACAGAACACCTACAACTACACGATTACCTTCATCGACGCCGCGACCAGATACGTCTGGCACCTCAACCTACCCAGCCGCGACATGGCCTTCGAAGCGTTCGTCGCGTGGCTTCCTGCAGCAGAAAGAGAATCGGGCGTAAAACTGAAAAGTTTTCAGTCAGACGGGGGAGGAGAATACACCTCACAGAGGTTCAAGGACTACTTGGCAGAGAGGGGAATCAAGCGACTCATCTCCCTTCCCTACGCCCATCAACAGCAAGGTGTAGCAGAAAGGATGAACAGGACACTTCAAGCCACCATGCGCAAGCTGCTGCGTGGCATGCATCTGCCCAACCACCAGTGGCCCGAAGCAATGGACCACGCCGTCATGCTGCACAACTTGCTCTCGTCATCATCGCTCCCGAACAACGCATCACCGCACCTGCTGTGGACAGGAAAATTTGTGCAGCACAAAAATGTTACGAGTTTTCGGGTGCATGGTACAGTACCGACCACCATCTGCACGCGCCGGTCGATTCTCCCAACGAGCACAGTGGGGACTACACCTGGGCATCGAAAAACACCACAACGCATGGAAAATCTTCGACATCAACAGCAAGGAAACAGTCGCAGCACGTGATGTAATCTTCTACGAACACCTCACCCTCGACGTTCATCTCGCGTACGTCAGAGCCAACAGACCTGACCTCACGGGCGGATTCACTGGCACCCGAGCCTTCGCCTCGGCAGAAGATGAAGCTGACTGGGACGAGCAGAACGTGGACCGAGCCTCGGAAGAAGCCGGACCTCTTCCCTACTGCCCAGTGGACGTACCAATGGACGACGACAACCCTCGCGAAAGCATCAACGCCGAAGTTTACTACGATTTCGCCGACAACGGTTACGTTACACCCGCTGAAGTCAACACCAACGAAGCAGAACGCGTAGGACCCAACTTCGCACCTGATCCAGAAGCTGGAGACGAAGCAGTCTATCCCGAGGACACCACACTCCCCCGCTACACACAGAGTGGACTCCAAATCCTTGGCCTCGTCACCGCAGTCCACGGCGCCGACATTCCTAAGGAGCCTGCGACGGTTCAACAGGCTCTGGGGGGGGAGCACAGGGAAAAATGGCGCGAAGCCATGGACAGAGAGCTGAAGGCGTTAGAAGAACGCAACACCTGGAAGGTCGTCCCTATCGGCGTAGCACGAAACAAGACCATTCTTACCGGAAAATGGGTCTTCCGTGTGAAGACGAAAGCAGACGGCACCATCGACAAGTTCAAGGCACGCTGGGTCGTACGCGGCTTCGACCAGGAGCACGGACGTGACTTCACCGAAACCTTCGCTCCGGTCAGCCGCCACACTTCACTGCGAATTCTCCTCGCGATCGCCGCCATGAAGAAGAAGAAGTTGCGACAAATCGACGTCGCAAATGCTTTTCTCTACGCACCTGTTGATGCAGAGATCTTCGTGGAGCTACCACACGGCTCCAACACAGACTCCACACATGTCTGCCAGCTGCTAAAATCGCTCTACGGGATCAAGCAGGCCCCGCGACTGTGGCAACAGTACCTGCACGCTCGCCTCATCCGCATCGGCTTCAAGCAACTCCCGCACGATCAGGGTATGTACCGCCTCACGAAGAACAACGACTACGTCCTACTAATCGTCTACGTGGACGACCTCCTCTACATCGGGTCAAATGACGGCATCACTACCTGGTTCGAAGGGGAGCTGCAGCAAGACCTCACACTCACGGTTTCACCTACCGTCACTCAGTACCTCGGCCTCAACATCCGAGAAGAAGAAGATGCGATCTACCTCAGCGCCGCGAAATACGCCGACACCATCGCCAAACGCTTCGGTCTCACGCCGGCCGCGATCTCAACACCATACCGCTACACGACAGGAGCCGACAAGGGAAGATCCACTTTACTCAAACCCGCCGGCGTACGCGACTATCAGAGGAAGCTAGGATGCCTCCTCTTCGCAGCTGTTACCTGCCGTCCCGACCTCTCATACTCCGCAAGCCAGCTCGCTACCTACCTCAAGAAGCCCGAAACAGAGCACCTGGCGGAGCTCGACCGCGCTCTTCACTACTTCATCAGCACCCCGACGATCGGCCTAACCTACCACAAGAACGCAACTACACCAACCAAGCTAATCGGCTACGTCGATGCCGATCACGCCGGCGACTCCGACAACAGGCGCTCACGCACCGGCTACGTCTATCGCCTCGAACCTATCGGTCCTATCTCCTGGCAATCGAGCAAGCAGGAGTTAATCGCGCTATCTTCAGCTGAAGCAGAATACATTGCACTCTGCTCAGCCACCAAGGAGGGACTTTATCTTCGCGAGCTGCTGGAAGAAACAATCAGTCAGCAATTCGCATCGCCAACAAGAACGGCTTCGCGAACAGGACGAAACACATCGCCCTACGCTACTTCTTCGTGAAGGACGAGATCGAGAAGGGGAGACTCGAGCTGTCATACTGCCCCACGTCCGAGATGGCAGCTGACTATTTGACCAAGAAGCTCGGAAAGCAGAAGTTCGAGTACTGCATGCTGCTGACTGGACAGAGCCACGTCATCAGCAGCGACACTCCACAAGAGAAGGGGAGTGTTGGAAACAGTGAATCTTAAGCGCTTCAGTCGTGTCGAAACATCGCACCAGAAGCGAAGCAAGCAGTACCGAAGCAAGCGCGAGTCAACCCTCGGAGGTTGAGAGGTTGCTGGAGGTTACGCGAAAGTCAAAGGTCAAGCGACCTTTGACCTGACAAATACAGCGCGACAGTTAAGGACACACAACTGACTCATTACAGAGCAGTTGCCCGAGTCGTACTGTATCGAACCGCAACAGCAACAGTAAAAGTAGTTATAACTGCATCCTTTCATATTCTTTGTATTACTATATAATCTTGTACTTCTTCAATATAATCAATCTACTTTGCCCTCATATACCAGCGCAAGGTGGTTCATAATTCTTCATTAAACGCTTCCGCTATTACAACACTATCCTACCCAGAGTTCTCCCTTGAAAAGATCCTAAGGGGCTATCTCAGCCCAACAGCTTCAAGGAGCTTAAGTGATTCCACATAATAGCTCATCCACATAGAAAATGGTGAAATCTGACTTGACTTCCACATCTTGTTTTGGCGAATGACTTCACGGTTACAGCAATACATTTTGCGACCAGGAGATGGAGCAAGTATACCGTACTCTTGTGTAACAGCTGCGTGAGCAAATGAATCTGCTGCTTTTGCCAGCCAGATTCAATCTTGGTCCTGAAGAAACTCCATCTCTCCCACTCTCAATCTCTCTCTCACTCACTCTCTCTCAGTCACTCACCCTCACTCACTCTCTCAATCACTCTCTCTCTCACTCTCTAAGAAGCTCGTCCAGCCGCTTCCTCACATCCTCGCCCATCTCTCGCCGCCTCTCTGCCACCCGCTGCTGCTTCTGCTCGGCCCTCTTGCTCACCCGTGACGACCGCCGCGGCTCCGATGTAGCAGCAGCAGGGGGGTGAGGGCGGTGCGAGGGGTGAGAAGAGTGAGAGGGGTGAGGAGGGTGCAAGGAGTGAGGGGGGTGAGAGGGTTGATCACTGTGTACATGTGACTGTACAGGGTGTGACACAAGCACAGGCGCAGGTGATTGAAGGGAGAGCGACTGCATGCCAAAGGTTACAAGCGAAGGGGATTGAAATTCACGAGGTGACAAAAGCTGCTGCGACCCTCCATGTGAGCGCACACGCTTTCCCTTTCCCTGCCTCTCCATCACCTCCCTCTCCCTCATCTGCTGTTGCTGTAACTGTTGCGTCTTTCTCCGCCTAGCATGACCTCCTAATGCCGCGCCTCGGCCCTGCTTCTCACGTCTCCACCTCTCCTTTGAACTTGTCACATGCCTCCCTTCCTCCCTGCTCCTACCCACTGCCTCCCTCCCTTCCACCACCCTACACCTCCTGTCGTCCGCCACTCTGCGTTCATCCCTCAAAGTTTCCGAGTCAGAGCTGCTGCTGCTGCTGCCGTGCTCTCCTCTGCTTTCTTGGCTCTCCACTGCCTCCTCACTCCCCTCACTCTCCCCACGCCCCTCGCGCCCATCACTGTCACTGCTGAGGGTGATGGCATGTGTGCTTGCAACCTCCACCACATCTCCACTTGACTTCACCTCCTTGCCTCCCTCTTCCTCCTCTCCTCCTTTCTCTTCCTCCTCTCCTCCTTGCTCTTCCTCCCCTCCCGGTGCCTCCCCTCCTCGGCACACGGCCTGCCTTGCCCCACGTGCCCCTGCCTGCATGCCCTGCATACCCTGCACGTGAGCTCCATCAGCATGGTGGCAGTGCCGCCGCTCCACCACCCTCACCTCCCTGTGTGACGCCTCCTTATGCTTTGCCTGCCCATTGTCAGCCCCACTTTGAACCACACACTTCCTCTCCTTGCCACCCTCCAGCAACCCTCTTCTCCCTCTTCTTTTCACTCCCCTCCCTCTCTTCTCTCTGTTCTCTCCCTTCACTCCCTTCTCTTCCATCTCTCCCTCCTCTCCCTCCTCTCCCTCCTCTCCCTCCTCTTCCTTCTCCTCCCTTTCCTCTTTCCTCCCCTCGTCCCGTCCCCTAATTTCCTCATCGTCCTCTGCTTCCTCCTCTTGGGCACTCTGCCCTCCCTCCTCATCCCCTGACGAGATAACAAATTGGTCTTGGGACGTCTCAGAACCAACTTCTTCCTCCTCCTCTTGGGAACTTTTCCCTCTCTCCTCTTCCTCTTCTACCTTCTCCTTGTCCTCCTCTTCCCTCCATTCATCCCGTTGCCCCCTCTCCTCATCGTCCTCTGCTTCTTCCTCCTCCTCTTGGGCACTTTCCCCTCCACCCTCTTCCTCTGCCCCCACTTCTTCAACCTCCTCCACTTCTTGGCTCTCTCTCACTTCACCTTCCTCTTCCTCCGATTCCTCCCCCACGCTTGCTCCACTCACCCCATCAACCACAGCCACATCACGCCCCCCCTCCCCTACGCCCATGCAACCCACTCCTGTCCCAAGTTGCCCTGCCAAGCGAGATGGCGCCCCCTTCGTCTCTGATGAACCCACACCCTTCACCAATCCCTGAACATCCGCCCTTCCCCGCTCTCTACCCTTCCACCCCCCACTCTTCCCCTTTTCTCCCTCCACCTCCTGTCCCACTTCCCTTAATCCCATCTCATCCGCCTTCCCTCCACCTGCTTTCCATGTTCGCACCTCAACAATCCCATCCCTTTCCACTTCCTCCACTTCCTCCATTTCCATCTCATCCTCCTCCTCCTCCCCTCCACCAATATTCTTCGCACCTATCCCCTCCCTCACTCCATGCTTCCTCGCTCTATCGTCCCTCGACCCCTTGCAGCCTACAACACCCCAATCCTCATCTTCCTCCTTTCCACCACCCTCTCCACTCACCCTCTCCACCCCACCATCTCCCACATCCTCATCTCCTTCCTGCACTCTACCCGGCCCCCCTCTCAGCCTCCTTGCTCGTCCTCCAGCCTGCCCCACTCCCATCGGAACCTCAATCTTTCCTCTTTTCCGCTTTCCCTCCCTGCTGGTCTTACCATCCTCCGATCCGCGCCCCTCTTTCGTCTCAATTCTTGTTCCGCTAGGTCCCCCCGGTGCCCCAGGTACTTCAGGTGCCTCTGATGCCCCTGACGCCCCAGGTGAATCAGGTGTCCCAGGTGCTTCAGATGCGTCAGATGCGTCAGGTGCCCCAGGTGCGTCAGGTGCCCCGCGTGCTTCAGGTGGCCCTCGGTGCCTCCCTCTACCTCTAACCCCCTCCTTTAGCCGCTCTACCCTCTTCTGCACTCCCCTCTGAACTTCTGCCATGCACCGTGCTCCACTGGGTGTGCGGGTGGGTGTGTGTGTGGGTGTGTGGGTGGGTGCACTCGCAACCCCTTTCTGCAGCGAGGACAGAAGCCCAGTGGCGGAGTCCAAGCCACTGCGCAAGTCCAGATCGCCCCACATGTCCCTTGCACCCTGCCGCTCCCTACCACCACCCCACTTCCCCTCCCCCTTCCCCTCCTTTCCCCCCTCCACTTCCTCCTGCTCCTCCTGCTCCCCACCCTCCTCCTCCGGCTGCTCCTCCTCTGCCTGCTCCTCAGGAGAGGAGCTGTTGCAAACTACAGACGCATCAACCCACTTACCGCCCTCACTGCTCCCACACACCCCTCCACCCCCTTGCACGCCCTCACTTTCCCCACCACCTTCTTCCCCTCCCTCTCCCCCCTCCACCCCATCGGCCTTATCAGCTGCACTCTGTGCCAGCGGTGAGTCAGTGCCGCAAGCTGCACCTGCCATACCCCCCTCTTCCCTCTTTTCTCCCTCCTCTTCCTTTTGCTTCTTCCCCTCTGGTTCCTCTTCCTCCCTTCCTGCTTGATCTGCCTCTTGATTAATCTTCAACCGTTTCCCTTCTCTCCTTCCTCTCGTCCCTTCTCTCGTCCCTTCTCTCGCACCTTCTCTCGTCCTTTCTCTCGTCCCTTCTCTCGTCCCTTCTCTCGCCCCTTCTCTCACCCCTTTTCTCGTCCCTTCTCTCGTCCCTTCTCTCTTCCCTTCTCTCCTCCCTCCCCCTCCATATCTGACGGTAGCAGCAGCGGAATTCACTGTCTCGACATTGCTGCTTGCTCCTTTTGCTGCGGCAGCACTTGTTGCGGCACCTGTAGCTGCATCTGTAGGGGGACCTGTAGCACCACCTGTAGCAGCACCTGAAGCAGCATCTGTAGAAGCATGTGTAACTGCATCCTTGAGTGCATCCGGGGAAACAAGTCTAATCACATCCACCGTTGCGTCTGTAACAGCATGCCTAACACCGCCAGCTGTAGCTGTAGCTGTAGAAGGAGCCTGAGAGCCCTCAGCAGCACTCGTGGCAGGCACACCATCGCCACATGCCGTGCCACCCCGACCATGCTTGCTAGCTCCAGCATCACGACCGTTGCGAGCAGCGTCGTGTTCGGCCCCCTGCCCACCACTCCGCTTGTAAGGAATAACACTGGTGCCACCTGACTCCTCGCTAGCAGCAGCAGCAGCGCCATTACCACCATTGCCATCGTCACTAGCAGCCGCAGCAGTTGCAGCCACACCACCATCACCACATGCCTTCCCACCCTCGCCAGGCTTCCTTGCTACGGCAGCGTGTTCGCCCCCCAGCCCACCACGCCGCTTGTAAGCTATACCACCAGTGCCACCACCACATGCCTTGCTAGCAGCAGCGCCATTACCATCGTTGCCCTCGTCAGCAGCCGCAGCAGTGGCAGCCGTAACAGCGGCAGCAGGAGGCGGAGGCGGAGGCGGAGGAACAGCAGGGAGAGCAGCAGCAGCGCCATCATCATCGGGTGAATCACTCATCAACACATAATGTGCCAGCTCATGCCCTGCATCAACTCGAACCCCACCTGACTCCTTACTCCTGCAGCTTTCTTCTCCCTGCGCTTCGCCAGTCACTTGCTGTCCTCCCTCTTTCCCCATCTCCACCTCTCCACCATGTCCCCCTGCCACCCGCCCCTGCTTGCCATTCCTCAACCCCACCTCTTCCATACGTCCCTCCTCCTTCGCTTCCACCCCCTCGCCACGCACATCTCGCACGCTCCTCCCTTGCTGCTGATCTGCACTTGCCTCTACCATTCCCCCCACCGCCTTTCCGTAACTCTCTTCCTTCGCACACCTCTTCTGTCTGCCTCCCTTCCCCTCCCCCCTCGTCTCCTCTTCTCCCTCCTCTTCTGCAATCTCCTCAACCATACTTCCTCCCTCCTTGCTCTGGCCCTCGCGTCTCCTCCCTGCCTCCGCCTCACCCCTCAAGCACCCCGCCTCCTTATTTGTCTCCATCCCCGCCTTCTCCTCACTCCTCTCCTCCATCCCCTCTTCATTCTTCTCTTCTTTCTGTTCCTCCACCCCCTTCCTTCCCTGCTCTCCTCTCTCATTCCCCTCCTTCCCTACCTTCTCCTCCTCTTCCCCCTTCCCTCCTCTCCCAAGCTCCCCTCCCTTCCCTCCTTTCTCCCTCCTCTCCCCTCCCCCATCGCCTCCCCCATCGCCTCCGCCATCGCATCCTCCATGTCCACTTCATCCAGCCACGAGGACACCAAACTTAGACGCCGCCTTCCGCCAAGCTCGTCCCTCTCATCTTCCCCACCCCCATCCGCCAGAGGCCATCTGCCACTCCCTACCAACTCCACCCGCCCTCTTTTCCCCGCCCTCACCTCCACCACATCCCCCTCCCCCTCCCCCTCCTCCCCATCCTCCGCCAACACCTCGTTCAAGCGCCTCTCTCGCTTCCCACCACCACGGCTCGCGTTGCGAGGGCCTTCCCCAGGCAGTGCATTGGCCGACGGGCCTCCCTCCTGGGTTGACATGATTGCATGCAAGCTGCGGCTTCGAGTCACACGCCGATTGTCATCTTTCTTCTGCTCCTGATCCCGATTGTGTAAGCCTTTACTTTGCCCCTCTTCCTGTCTCGCCGCACACCCATCCGCACCCTCCCCTCTTCCACCCTCCCCCGCCACACTCCGTATCTCCCTCGCCAGCAGCCCTATCATTCCTCCACCTCGCCCCACCCCAGACCCCCTCCCTTCGTCCTCCCTTCCTTCCCTCTCCCTCTCCTTCTCCCCTCCATCCCTGTGCCTCTCCCTCACCCCCTCCCCCTCCACCTCCTTTTCCTTCCCTGCCACGGCCTCCTCGCTTTTGGGTTCCTTTCCTGTCACAGCCTCCTCGCGCACCGGAGAACCCGAGTGCCGCATGAGTTCGCGCATGGGTTCACGCAAAAGGGAACCCGGGTGCCGCATGGGTTCGCGAGCCACCAGCTCCCCCAGCCCGGCACGCTGCAGCACGGTGCGGCGGATGGCGGCCCGCATGGGCTTGGCTGAGTCAGGCGTCAGCCAGGGGAAGGACAGCTGGGGGGGAGGAGGGGGAGGGGAGGGAAGCGGAGGAGAGAGAAACAAAGAGAGGAAATGATGGGATAGAGTGTGAACCAGAAGCCGCAGCAGCACGGTGCAGCGAATGGCGGCCCGTATGGGCTTGGCGGAGTCGGGTGTCAGCCAGGGGAAGGACAGCTGGGGGGGAGGATGGGGGGGGAAGGGGAACAGAGGAGAGAGAAACAAAGAGAGGAAAGAATGGGGTACAGCGTGAAACAGCAGCACGGTGCGGCGGATGGCTTGGCTGAGTCAGGCGTCAGCCAGGGGAAGGACAGCTGGGGGAGGGGAAGGGGGAGGGGGAGGGGGTGAAAAGAGAAAAGTGGGAAGAGGAAGAGTGGAAGCAGGACCAGTGACTCACTGGGCTCGGCTGGGGGGGGTCTGCTATGGGTGAGTGAGCTGGATGGGTGTGAGCAGGGAAGGTGCAAAATGGGCGACAGTGGAAGGGAGCAAGCACGCGCAAAAAGGTGAAGAGGCGCTGAGGAAAATCGGCTCGTCCCGCAAACCAAACATGCAAAATGCAAACCAACCATCAAGCACCAATGGCAGCAGCACAGTCACGCCCAGCCAAAGAGAAGAGAGAGGAGTCCTGAGCCTGCGGTGCCTAAAGAAAAGCCACGATTAGCTGCTGCCAACATGCATGCGCTTTCAACACTCACTGTCTGCACTGCCAGATGCTCACCTGACCGCCACACATCTCCTGTCAGTACGGATAAGTGTGTCGGCAGCAAGCAGAAAGAATCAAGAGCACAGGCAGGGGCACTCACCACTTGCTTGCACTGGTCACAGGCAGCGGCACGACAGACCGTGAGCGGCATGTGGGAGAGCAGCTCCTGTGCGTACAGCAGCAGGAACACCCCGCAGTCACTCAGATTCGGCTGCTGGGGGACCTGTGGATTGGAAGGAGAAAAAAAGAGAGACAAAACACACACAGAATCATAAAAAACATGAGCAAACTACGAACTCGAACCCGCTTGGGTTGAACCTTTCAAGGTTCAAGTTAAACCTTCAGCACTTCGATAAAACTAGGGACCAAATAAGAGAAACTAGGGTTCAAATTTGAGCCGAACCACTACAAGAGAGATTGATTTGGCAACGAAAAATCACATCGAGCATACTCAAACCGGCTAGACTAAACCAAATGGTGGTTCAGATTTTCACTCGTGTCGTCTGAGAGGCGAATACTCGAGCTGTGAGGCGAATACATGAGCTGAGAGGCGAATACTCGAGCTGTGAGGCGAATACATGAGCTGAGAGGCGAATACTCGAGCTGTGAGGCGAATACATGAGCTGAGAGGCGAATACTCGAGCTGTGAGGCGAATAGATGAGCTGAGAGGCGAATACTCGAGCTGTGAGGCGAATACATGAGCTGAGAGGCGAATACTCGAGCTGTGAGGCGAATACATGAGCTGAGAGGCGAATACTCGAGCTGTGAGGCGAATACATGAGCTGAGAGGCGAATACTCGAGCTGTGAGGCGAATACATGAGCTGAGAGGCGAATACTCGAGCTGTGAGGCGAATACATGAGCTGAAAGGCGAATACTCGAGCTGTGAGGCGAATACATGAGCTGAGAGGCGAATACTCGAGCTGTGAGGCGAATACATGAGCTGAGAGGCGAATACTCGAGCTGTGAGGCGAATACATGAGCTGAGAGGCGAATACTCGAGCTGTGAGGCGAATACATGAGCTGAGAGGCGAATACTCGAGCTGTGAGGCGAATACATGAGCTGAGAGGCGAATACTCGAGCTGTGAGGTGAATACATGAGCTGAGAGGCGAATACTCGAGCTGTGAGGCGAATACATGAGCTGAGAGGCGAATACTCGAGCTGTGAGGCGAATACATGAGCTGAGAGGCGAATACTCGAGCTGTGAGGCGAATACATGAGCTGAGAGGCGAATACTCGAGCTGAGAGGCGAATACTCGAGCTGAGAGGCGAATACTCGAGCTGTGAGGCGAATACATGAGCTGAGAGACGAATACTCGAGCTGTGAGGCGAATACATGAGCTGAGAGGCGAATACTCGAGCTGAGAGGCGAATACATGAGCTGAGAGGCGAATACTCGAGCTGTGAGGCGAATACATGAGCTGTGAGGCGAATACTCGAGCTGTGAGGCGAATACTGGAGGTACGGAGTGCTAGAAGAAGTCTGTTGGCATTACCTTGGGGCGAAACACAGGCAGGCGGATGAAGGCCTTCCTCAGCGCTGGCGTGAGGGGCACCTTGTGGCGCACAAGGTACTCCTCCTGTAGGTACCTGGTGGTGGGTGGTGGTAGGGGGCGGTGGTGAGGGGTGCGGTGAGTGGAATGTATCAAGTCGCCAATGCTCTGCGCTTTTACTATCCTTCCCTTGCACGACTCACATCCTCACAGAGGCACAACCACATGCAGCCATGGCAGCAAGCAGCAAGGCAACTGTCAAAGCACAGAGCATACTGCACACTGCAGGCAGCTGTCAAATCACAGAGCCCTAGATCCAGCCACTACCCAAAACCAACCGACTCTACCGCCTCCCCGCTTCCCACCCCACAACCCCCCCCACCAACAAGACAAACCCGGCTCACGTTCGCACAGCCTCCTCCACGTCCAGGTGCAGCCCGGTCAGCCCCCATCCCACTACCCACCCCATTACCCCGCCCAACAACTCTTGTCACCACACATCACACTACCCCACCACAGCCCAACTCACATGCGAACGGCCTCCTCCACGTCCAGGTGCAGTCCCGGCAGCGAGTCAAAGTGCAGAATGCACGGCGCTGCCTCGTGCGCGGGGGGTGTGGCAGCAGCTGACTCGTGAAGAGGAGGCTTGGGTGATGCTGGGGGTTGGGTAGGAGGAGGGGGAGAGGGGTTGGTGAGTGGAGGGTAGGGGCTGGTGGAAGGGACAGGAACGAGGCTGGCATGGGATGGGAGGGGGCTGGCAGCGGCGAGAGGCGATTGGGAGATGCCGGATTGGGGAGGGCGGTCTGGAGCATTGTGTGAGGATGTTGTTTGAGGCGGTTTAGAACGGTGAGGAGAGGCAGGGAGATGTTGGGGTGAGTGTAAGAGGCTCTGTGTGGCGATGTATTCTTGTAGAGGGGAATCTTCAAACGAGGATGCTTCTAACAGGTTAGCGTTAAGTGGGGATGGGGATATGGGGAGATGCGATGGCGGTGCGGGTATTGGCTGGGAGATTGCTGATGAAGAGGGATGCAGCTGCGCTGCTACTGCTGCTGATCCTGCTGCTGATGATGATCCTGCAACACCTGCTACAGCTTCTGCGGCGGATGCTGAGGCTGCTACTGCTGCTGCAGCGACTGGCAGCAGAGGTGTTGCTGGTTGTGCCTGTGAATCAGGTCTCGGTGGTTTCGGTTGTGGCGCTGCTGCTGCTTGTGGCGCTGTTGGTGTCGGTGGTGGGATGGGAAGAATCTTGTTGGGATGGCAGATGACCAGCAGGCTCCAGTGGTAGCTGCAACGGAGAATGGCACGGGTAAGATAGAGCATGCAGGGAAAGGCAGCGTGGAGACTTAAACCGAAGTGAAGAAAACAATCTGTTCTGGATGGTTTGCTTTGCTTTGAACAACAGTATGCATGGCCGGGAGTGTATCGGTGTGGCCCCACATAAGGCATGATGCATCAATGCGTCTGGACATAGGAGCGAAACAAATGGCTGACGAAAGACAAACCTGAGGTTGACGGGGATGAAGACAAAGTCACAGGCGAAGAGGTTCACCCCCTTGGTCCACTTGCGCACCCGCCAGTGCGCCGCCTTCCCATCCTCCTCCCCACTCCCCCCCTTCGCTGCCTCCACCGCTGCAGCGGCAGCAGCATCAGCAGCAGCTCGGGTGGCGGCAGCGGCACGGGCATGCGTGGGTGGAGGGAAGGGGTCGTCCTTCTCTCCGCCGATGAGCATCTTGAAGAAAAAGCTGTTGAAGAAATGCACCAAAGGAGGAGGCTGTTTTGCCCCACCCACCTGCTTCTCACCACCTGCCTTGTCACCATCTGCCTTCCCTCCAGCAACAGGTGCACCTGATGATGATGCTGCACCTGGTGCTGCTGGCGGCAGTGGTGGGGGCAGTGCCTGGTCGGGTGCGGCAAGGGAGCATGCGATGCGGCCCTTCTCCATGGCCTGCACCTTCAGATGCCTGCAGGGAAGGCAGAGCGGATGGGGGGTTTGGGAAGAAATCAGTGCCTGGCCAGGTCCAGCAGGCGAGCAGGCGAGCACGCGATGCGGTTATGCGGCCCTGCACCTCCAGACCTGCAGGCTCGTAGAGGGGGAGGAGAGGGGAAGGGGGAGGGATGGGGATCAGCCTCAGGGGAGGGTCAAAGAATGTGAAGACACAAGGCCAGAACAAAAAGAACCGACCCCGGCTGAGAACAAACCAGGTTGACCCAGACCAGGTCCGGGTTGACCCAGGCCAGGTCCGGGTTGATCCAGGCCATGCTTGGGTTGACCCAGGCCAGGTTCGCGTTGACCCAGGCAAGGTTCGGGTTGACCAGGTTCGGGTTGACCAGGTCCGGGTTGACCCAGGGCCCAAGCCAGGTACTAGTAGAGAAACGAAGCCTCTCAGACTCCAACTAATCACTCATCTGAGAAAGAAGTTAATGAGCGTGTCGTTGAGAAACTCCTCTGGCTTCAGCCGCTCCACATCCCCCAGTTGGTTCCTTGGAATTCTAAAAAGCAGTCACTTCTGAGAATCAAACCAGACGCTCAGGTCACCTGAGGAAGAAGTCAATGAGGGTATCATTCAGGAACTCCTCTGGCTTCAGCCGCTCCACATCCCCCAGTTGGTTCCTTGGAATTCTAAAAAGCAGTCACTTCTGAGAATCAAACCAGACGCTCAGGTCACCTGAGGAAGAAGTCAATGAGGGTATCATTCAGGAACTCCTCTGGCTTCAGCCGCTCCACATCCCCCAGTTGGTTCCTTGGAATTCTAAAAAGCAGTCACTTCTGAGAATCAAACCAGACGCTCAGGTCACCTGAGGAAGAAGTCAATGAGGGTATCATTCAGGAACTCCTCTGGCTTCAGCCGCTCCACATCCCCCAGTTGGTTCCTTGGAATTCTAAAAAGCAGTCACTTCTGAGAATCAAACCAGACGCTCAGGTCACCTGAGGAAGAAGTCAATGAGGGTATCATTCAGGAACTCCTCTGGCTTCAGCCGCTCCACATCCCCCAGTTGGTTCCTTGGAATTCTAAAAAGCAGTCACTTCTGAGAATCAAACCAGACGCTCAGGTCACCTGAGGAAGAAGTCAATGAGGGTATCATTCAGGAACTCCTCTGGCTTCAGCCGCTCCACATCCCCCAGTTGGTTCCTTGGAATTCTAAAAAGCAGTCACTTCTGAGAATCAAACCAGACGCTCAGGTCACCTGAGGAAGAAGTCAATGAGGGTATCATTCAGGAACTCCTCTGGCTTCAGCCGCTCCACATCCCCCAGTTGGTTCCTTGGAATTCTAAAAAGCAGTCACTTCTGAGAATCAAACCAGACGCTCAGGTCACCTGAGGAAGAAGTCAATGAGGGTATCATTCAGGAACTCCTCTGGCTTCAGCCGCTCCACATCCTCCCACCGCACCATCACACTGTCCGTGCCTGTCGGCGGGAACACAAACGCCTCAAACTGCTGCCGACACTCCGCCAGCCACTTCCTCTGTGCTGCTGCCAGCAGCGCCGCTGCCCTCCTGCGGTTCTGCGCTGGTGGAGGTGGAGGAGGAGGAGGGGTGGCAGCCCGTGGGACGACAGCAGGAGGAGGGAGAGGAGGAGGAGCACAGGTACCAGCAGCGGCAGTGACGGAAGGAGCAACTGAAGAAGCAGCGGCAAGAGTAGAGGCAGAAGCAGAAGCAGCAGGAGGAGGAGCAGAAGCAGCGGAAGAGGCAGGAGGAGCAGGAGGAGTAGGAGGAACAGGAGGCAAGGAAGCTGGGGGTACAGAAGAGGACACAGGTGTGGAAAGGGGTGTCGAGGGCGCAGCTGGGGGGGCGGCGGATTGCTGTTTCCTCGCTCGGAACTCCTGCACGCTCTGTGCGACGACAGCAGGTGCTGCAGCAGTGCGCCCCAGCGCAGCCCACGCTTGCACGAACGCCTTGTTGTTGCTGCTGCTGCTGCTGCTGCTGGGGCTGCTGTTGCCGCATCTGCCCCCAGTTCCCCCAGTCCCTCTGTGCCTCCTGCACAGCCCGTTCCTTGTCCGTGCGTCCAAACTTCACCTCCCTTTCCTTGCCACTCCCGCGCCCAGTCTTCTCTTTATCGACCCCTTCCCTTACATCTCTTCTATTTCCATCCATCACATCCCTCTTGAACTCCCTTTTCCCTTCCTCCTCTTCATCTACCTCCGATTCCTCTTCCTTTCCATTCTCTTCCTCCTCCCCCACCTCCTCCACCTCGACCACATCCTCCTCCCCATCCTCCTCGCTGCTCCCATCTGCAGAAGCGTCAGCACTGGACGACGGCACCACCTCCGCCACGCCAAGCATCGCCAGCAGCCCGCCGCTCTGCACGCGCCCACTCACACCACGCCTGCTCGCCACTCGCACCGCACTGTCCTCCCCTTTTCTCATGAACAAATCATCTTGCCCAAATCCCTTTATCTCCACATCACATCTCTCCCCACCCCCTCTCCCACCACCAGCTCTCACATCGCCGCCTCCTCGCACACCATCCCCTCTCCTACCCACCTCTCTTCCACCCCTTCCCTCACAGCCTTCAGCGTTCCCTTCTTCTCTACCCCTGTCAGCACCCCTCATTCCCTCCCGTTGCCTCTGCCCTCCAAATGACGCACCTGACGTCCCATCCCCTCCTCCACTGCCATCCCTCAATGCAGCTCTGTCCAATAGAGCGGCACCCGATGAGTCATGTGCATGTGGCCGCTCTGACCCGCCTCCACTGGTAACCACACCACCACGCTTCCTGCCCAAGGTCTCGACTTCCACTCCACAGTCCTCCTTCCGCGCCCTTTTTTGCTTCTCAACAACAGTCTCCGACACCCCGCCATGCTTCTGTGCCTCGGGCTCATCTCTGGCCTGCTGCACCTCTCCCTGTCTGCCACATCTCCCATCAGTTTCTCTCCCACTCCCTCTCCCTCCACCCTCTCTCCCTCCACACTCTTCCCCTCCAGCTTCCCTCCCTCGCGTTGCTCTGCCTTGCACCTCGCCTTTACCCGACCGCCTTTCTGCTGCTGCCTTTGCATTCGTAACACCCTTCGCCAGCCCACCCCATCCATCTCTTCCACCTCTATCTCCCCTGTCACATCTATCTCTTGCATCTTCATCACCACCTATCTCTCCCCAATCAGGTTCACCAGTAACGCCACGGCCTCTGCACACAGAAATTTTCTCAGCAGCAGCCATTCTACCAGCACCCTCTCCGCGAGCACGAGTCCTCTCAGCAGCAGCATGTGCACTCCCACGTGTGCGCACAGGTGAGTCGCTCACCATGCCCCGCCACAGCGCCTCCAAACCCCCATCGCTGCCGTCCGCATGATCGCGTGCAGCTCCGGCCGACCGACGGCTCAGATCGCTCTGCAGCGTGTCAGGATCATCATCAACGAGCATGAGCTTTTGTCCCTCCCATTGGCTGGTGAGAACGGAAGAGGCGGCACCACCAGCACCACCACCAGCACCACCACCAGCAGCAGCAGCACCACCACCACCACCACCACCACCACCACCACTACCACCACCAACACGCTGCTGGCTGTTGCTGGTGTTGGTGGTGGCACGAGGAGGAGGAGGTGCTTTGTTGTGAGGAGGAAGGAGGGCGGCGGCGCGGAGGGAAGGGACGTAATCTGCCGGCCGGCCCATGGGCTCACACCCACGGCCTTGCACTGCCGGCCGGCCCATGGGCTCACACCCACGGCCTTGCACTGCCGGCCGGCCCATGGGCTCACACCCACGGCCTTGCATTGTTGCCCGGATGCGCTGCGCTTGAAACCCTGACGTGGGCGGAAGCTGCCTTGAAGCTTCGCCTGTGGGACAATGGAGGAGCGGACGATGAAGGGAGGAGTGGGGCGAAAGATGAACATGGGCTTTAACAGAATGGAAAAAGCAATAGAGCGAATTTAGGATGGAAACTTGCGAGGGGAAGAGACGGGAGAGGTTGCGGGAGAGAGGGAGAGAGTAGGTAGGGAGCCATGGAGAAGCGGCAGACAGAAGTCATGTTCCGGACGCACCACAACAAGCTTCCTCATCTGGGACGGCCTTTCTTACCACTTTCCTCCCGGTCCCGCTTCGTTCCTCTCTTTGTATTCTCTGCTGCATCATTGCATCCATTGTTAACGCGACTGCTTTTAGCGCATCCCGCGCCTGATACTACTTCCACGCACTCATCCTCCTCTTCCACCTCCTCCACCTCCTCCTCCACCTTCCCCTTTCCCTTCGCCAGCCGTCCTGCAACTCGTCTTGCCACTCTACCATTCCCCGACGGCTTCTCCGCTCCCCTCGCCCTCGTCGGTCGCGTGTCCTTCACGCCACCCCGCCATTCCACCACGTCAGTCTCATCCTCGTCAACTCCATCCACGTTATTGCCATCCTCGTTATCGTCGTCTTCGTCATCTAAGAGGATCACGTCCTTCGCTACAGCTTGCCGAGTCCCACCGGCCATATTAGTAACACCTGGCGAAGGAGTATTTCAGCAGTGCCAGGGCAGGGGGGGACAGTGGGCAGGGAGGGACAGTGGGCAGGGAGGGACAGTGGGCAGGGAGGGACAGTGGGCAGGGAGGGAAAGTGGGCAAGGGTAGCGAGGTGAGCATGCGCAAGGATGCTCCACGTGACAGGTACCTCTGAGAATCTAGGGAACGACTCATCCATGCACAACAAAATCTGCACCAGTTTGAAATCGCAAACCAGCAGATGCAGTGGCACCCACAGGACTTGGAGGAGTAGCAGCAGCACGAGCAGAAGCAGAAGCATTAGCAGCAGGAGCAGAAGCAGGAGCAGGAACAGGGGTAGTAAGAGTGGGAGGAGGAAGTTGATAGGCAGGCAGGCAGAGAGGGCCATGGACGCACCTCTGCCACGACTCTAGCTGACTTGCAGACGGGCTTGGATGATTTCAGGCAGAGCTCGTGTATGGCGCAGCTGGGGCGAAGGGAGGAGAGGCGGCGGGAGAAGGTTCAGGTGGACGGGAGAGATGGAGAGAGGGGGAGAGGGAGAGAGGGGGAGAAGGAGAGTTGATGACAGGGCGTGAGCGGTGGAGGTACGATACAGGGAGAGGAGGAGAGTTGAAGGGAGGTGTTGAAGTTTGGGATGAATGAAGGGACGTGGTACGTGGGGGGGTAGGGCGGCATAGACGGAAAAAAAGGGAGAGAGCGAGAGTGGGAAACAGAGAGGCGAAGAGAGGGCGGGAGATGTGTGGGGGATACGGAGGAGCAGATGTGTGGGGGGTGGTGTATGGGGGATATGGAGGCGGATATGTGGGGTGGCGATGGCGACGGGAAGAAGCGAGAGCGTATACCTCAGTCGCTTCCGATGATGGAATCGCGGGCGACTCGGGTAGGCATGGGCGATGAGGGAGAGCGCGTGTGGGTTGGGCTGCGCGGAGGCGACAATAAGAGGCGAGGGCGTTGAGGAGCAACGCAGGCGACGATGGTAGGCGCGGGTGACGCGGGTGGGCGCGGGTGACGCGGGTAGGCGCGGGTGGCGAGGGGAAGCGCGGATGCTCACGGGAGGAACCGACCCTAAGCGCGGATGACGAGGGCAGGCGTGGGAGACTAGGGGAAGTGCGGGTGCCGAAGTGCGGGTGCCGAAGTGCGGGTAACGAAGTGCGGGTAACGAAGTGCGGGTAACGAAGTGCGGGTAACGAAGTGCGGGTAACGAAGGGTCGCGCGGATGAAGACGGGAAGCAAAAGCGACGTGGTAAAGCACCCGTGAGCCAGGGAGATGTGGGTGTCGAGGAATAAGCGTGGGTGACGGGGCCTCACGGGCCGATAGGAGGTATCCCATTCACGTACCATGCTCCCTTGCAGTTGGCGTAACACGGAAGGTGTGAACCTATGACATTTGATCAAATTCCGTGTGATTGACGCGAGAACGACACGGTACGGTCGTGTTTGACGGGGACCTAAGCTGCTCGGTTGTTGGCGAGTCAGCGCGAGTGATTGGCGAAGTGGATGAGAAAACGTCTCTAAGGAACTAGCGCCTAGAGCACTGATGTGGGTTATTTAGGGCGCGTGTCTTTTGCTGTAGAGGTTCGGAAAATTTGGTTGAGCTTTTGCTGGTAACCCTATTCGCAAATCTCGCTAAATGTTTCGCTTGTGCATCGTGTGTCCTAGTACAACATTGTAGATGACGAATGGGTTGAACTTTCGGTTGAAACTATGCATGCACAAAAATTCACTCGTCTGTCCTCTTGACAATGCACTAGGTAGTTGCGAATCAAGGCGACGGTCGTAGCTTACTTCGTGCGCACTAACGACTTCGGAAAAAAGGTTACGGTGTCGCCAAAAACGCGTCAAAAACAGGTTAACCTACGTAGGTTAACCGCGACTCGGGAAAGTTCAGCTTCGATTGTTGAACTTTCGCGTGTCTTTTGGTTCTTGTGGGTTGAGGAGCAGCGACTCGGGCTACAGCAACCAATATTGTTGAGCCTAGGTCGACCTAGGTTCAACTGCGTAAGTTCAACTCAAAACTCGAGTTTTGCGTAGATTTTACAAAAGACACGCGCCCTTAGTTCGTGCGAAATCCCAGGAACACGATTTGGTTTGAAAGTGACGTGAGATCGTTGCATGGCGTTGTCCCAGCGTCGCGAGAGACCGTTTCACACAAGTAGGGTACTTAGATTTTGGCGAGTTCAAAAAACCTTCTTGATAAAAGAGCATCCGTATTTGGAAGGTGAAGAGAAAACTATGGTGTGGAGTTCTCTATGGTGTGTACGTGTCTAATTTCTAGGGAAAGTATGTGCTGGCTACCTGGTTATTGAAAACATTTCACATTTGATCCTGGGTTTACTCGAACACTCCTCCTTTCCGAGAATTCGTTCAAAACACATCCCAGATTGTGTTCACGACTCCTACTGCCAGGCCAATTTTTGGGATGATATACCTCAGCGGACGAAAAATGCCGCCCAATTTCGCGGTTCAAAAGGGACAAGGCCCCCCCTCGGGATTGACGACCTCCCGACGACCTCCGAGCTCCCAGACGGGCCCAAATGGCGTCCCAGGGGCCTCGGGAGCCCTCGGGATTGTCGACAATCCGACGACACCCGTTTGCGCTGGGAGATTCCTGAGAAGGAAATCTCAGCGGACAAAATTCGCCACGTCGAGCCGCGGATGCCTCCACGCGGACCAATAGGGAGGTGCGAGACCCGCCCCACCGATTACAAGGCTGCCACGACGTGGGCGTCGTGGCCACGCGTCGCTCTAGCGGTGCAAACCCACGCGGCGCAAATCGGACCGTCCACATCTTCACTGTCTTGTGGCATCGCGGGTTGCCAGGGAAGTCGGTGTCGACCAGATCCATGTCTGCTTGCCTTAATTTCTTCACTGGGGCGCCAATGGCGGTCGCAAGCCGCGTAACGCACGCCCATTCCGACGTGGAATGGCACTGGCTTACGCCCCTTCCGTGCAGCGCGGCGCCCAACTAGCCATGCCTGGCACGTGCCACGTCGGACAGTGCGCCGCCTTTACGAGAACACATGCACGGCGGCGGATGCATTGGGGTGTGCGTGACGCGCGGCAGCATCGTAGTCGCTCAGGACCATACCCGTCCGTTGCCCCGCGAGCCTGCTCATTCGCTTGTCCGTTCCTGCGTTCCTTCCTGCTCTCTCGTTCCCTTAGAATTTTCAGCTGCCAGTCTGTCATCGCGCCTGTAGGTTGCTCGACAGCCGATTGTTCGTCCAAGTCGGCACAGGTTCCACGTCGCGAGTCGACGTAGCAAGTCGGCGACGCATGGCCAGAGGTCGCCCGAGGGCCCAACAGCCGCAACCCATCCCACCCCCCGCCGACTCGGTAGACGCCGACATCAAGGCGCAGCTGGAACAGCTTGAACTCGAAGCCGAGCTAGACGCGCTTGAGCGAGAATTCGAAGAAGACGAAGACCGCCTGACGCTTCGCGCGTTCGCCGCACCCGTCACACAGTACCGTCTCTGGTTTACCACCCCCCGCGATCTCGAGGTCGACGCCGAGATAGACGTTATTGAGGGACATCTCGAGGACGACCGCCGCGCAACTGTTCGGGCGTACACCGCACCCGTGACTCAGTACCGGCAGTGGTTTAACAACCTCCCCAACGCACACGGACGACGGTAGAGCAGCAGACGTGTACCGACATGGCCGACGTCGACATGTCCGACGCTAGGCCATCCACCGACCAGGGTCCGACGACCACCGACCGCAGTCCGACATCCACCGACCACAGTCCGACACCTACCGACGAAGACAACCTGCAGTTACTCTACGATCTGGACAAGCTGACGCAGATCCCAGAAGGGGTGTTCACCACGGACGTTCCGCCACCGCCGATAGGGAAGTTCAACAAGAAGAAAAAACAGACTCCTACGCAAAATGGTCGGCCAGGTACCTCGTCGGCACCGGCCGCCCCTGGAAACCAGGTCGATGACGAGGACGCGGAGGAGGAGGGGGGGGAGGAGGAGGAGGAGGAGGAGGAGGAGGAGGAGGAGGAGGAGGAGGAGGAGGAGGAGGAGGAGGAGGAGGAGGAAAGCGATGACGAAAACGACGACCGTCCACCTCGTAGCTCTAATCCGCGCACCTTGGACGAACGACTCAGGCGGGAACTGCAATTCATCGACATACTGCTCGACCAGGACGAGGACGAGGACCAGGAGAACTTGGCGGTGCCGCGCGAACAGTGGAGAGCGGCAGACTTCGTCGAGGAGGACATGGTTTACGCGTGCGTAGACGTGCTCGTCATGGACGCTCTTCGCCACCTGCAAACCGTGGAGAGGAACAGCACGCTGAGGCAGTACACCTCGTGGATCTATCACTACAAGAGGTGGGCGGCGAAGATGTTGAAGCAAATTCGCAACAAGCTTCCGCAGGAGTACAGGCTTAAGCACGTCGACGAGATAGGGCACTACATCCGGGAGAACAAGAAGAAAAACTGGGACCAAGAGGCCGATGTCCCCCGGTCTCACGTGTGGCTGCACGGCCCTAGGGTCACCAAGGACCGGCTTCGCGCATACGTGAAGTACATGATTCGGGAGTTGAACCTCGATGCCGAGTCCGGCAAGGGGGCCGACAACGCCACAGGAACACAGCCGGTGCAGTCGACAACGGTACACACGCTCCTCGGGCGCATAAAGGCATGCCAGATGGCGGCGAGAGTGGAGGCGACGCTCTTCCGGGAGACGGAACTGAGCATCATGAGGGAGATATCGGTGGTCAGGTCGGAGGTGCGGTACATGATCCGCACCAAGAACGAGCGGGACATCAAGTGAGTTTATGTTTTAACCTACGTCGACCACTCTCCTGCTGTCATGATCTTTGTCGACGCCGCCCTAAATACCCCTTGCCCATGGCATTGTTGGCAGGAACTGCGCCGATCGCCGTCGCGGAACCATCGGCGATACCTACACCGCCGAACAGTTCCGCCAGATCATGTTCAGGGTGCTGCCGGCGTGGGCGGCCAAGGCGTGGAACCCGCGGGGTA